GTGAGTATTCCTCCAATCTGATTCCATGTTCTTCTTCATATAATCCAGATTCTCAGATTAATAGCCCTGCATACAGACTGAACAAGTACAGTGAAAGGATACAACCCTGCTACACAGTTTTCGTGGTTTTAAAATGTTCAGCATCCCTTTGTTCTGTTTGAATGACTTCCTCTTGGTCTATGTACAGGTTCCTCATGAGCACAATGGAATACCCATCCTTCATAATGTTGTCCACAGTATGTCATGATCCACACAGTGGAAAGTCTTTGCATAGTTAATAAAGCACCAGTAAACTGTAAATATCTTTCTGGTATTCTCTGGTTCCAGCCAAGATCCATCTGAAGCTAGCAATGATATCCCTCAATCCACATTTGCTTCTGAATCTGGCTTCAATTTCTGACAATTGTCTGTTGATATACTGTTGCAACCGTCTTTTAATTAAAAATTTACTCCCATGTGATACTATGATATTATTCCATGACTCTTACATTCTGTTGGATCACCTCTCTTTGGAATGGAAAAAAATGATGGATCTCTTCCAATCAGTTGGCCGGATAGCCATCTATCAAATTTCTTGGCATAGATGAATGAGCACCTTCAGTGCCGCATCATTTTGTTAAACATTTCAATTTGTAGCCCATCAGTTCCTGAAGCCTGGTTTTTCACCAAGGCTATCAGTGCAGCTTGGACGTCTTCATTCAGAACCATTGGTTCTTCGCCATATGCTACCTTTTGAATGGCTGAATATCGACCGTTTCTGTAATTATAGAGACTGCAAATTCCTTCCATTTTCTTTTGATGCTTTCTGTTCATTCAATATTTTACCTATTTGTTGTTAAGTGCCGTGGGGTTGGTCCCAACTCATAGCGACACTGTAAAGGGTTTCTGAGGAATGGCTGTTGGATTTGAACTGCTGACATTGCAGTTTAAACCAACATTGCATTTGAGTGCTTATCCTGTAGTGCCACACAGGGACTCCATTTACCCATAGATTCCTTTAATATTGTAAGTCCAACACTTGAATTTCTTTTTTAGTTCTTTAAGCTTGAGAAATGCTGAGTGTGTTCTTCCCTTTTGGTTTTCTCACTTGAGGTCTTTGCACATTTCATTATAATATTTGACTCTGTCTTGTAGCTACCCTATGAAATTTTCTGTTCTGTTCTTGT